GTGCGCACTCGGGGAGATCTAGGAGACTTTATTTTCTGCCTGACTGAAATGAAAGGAATTCAGTGTTAAACCTTTATTGAGCAAAAGCTGCTGTGCTGCTCTTGTCAGTTGTATGAGTTGGTTTTGTTGTGCAGTGTTGCTCATTTTGTGCCCTTTGGTATGTGTATACAGTGTGCTGTATAGAAGTCATATGCTCTAATAACTGTTTTTTCCTAGCTCCCCCCCACCACCCCACTGGCTCCTCCACCTCTGTTGACCCAGGCCTCATTTAAAACAGGAGCTTATGTAGATCTGTATTTGCAAGCACATGACCAAAAGCCAGATTTAATATTGCTTATCATATGATCTCTCTCTCTCGCTGTCTCTCTCTCTGTCTGTCGCATACACACCCTGCCTCACTCTCTCTTTCTTTCTTTCTTTCTTTCTTTCTTCTATCTCTTCTTACTTTCTGTGCGTCTGTCAGTCTGCGTGTCTGTCTCTTCTCTCTCTGTGTGTTTTCTCTTCTTCTATGGGGTGGCCTCAGAGGGGCTTCTGTCCACCAGTGTGTTCCCCCCCAAATCAGACGTGCAGCAGTGATGGGGAAATCACAGGAAATGAGAGAGCCTATTCAGATCAGATACAGTTATCTACTGTCTCTTCAGAGAGAGCGAGCGAGAGAGAGACAGAGAGAGAGAGAGAGAAGAACAGAGGGGCAAAGAAAGAATTTGGCAGAACGAAGAGGGGAAACAGGAATAGACAACAGATAGATGTGAGTTTGGTTGCCACAGAGTGAAAAGGAAGAGTGAAAGAGAGAAGCAGGCGGAGTTGAGTGAGAAAAAGTTGGGAAAGGAGGAGGAAAAAAGATAAGAAGTCAGTCAGGCCCTGGTCACATGTGCAGGGGTTGAAGGCTTGCAGGGGTTGAGTAGCGTTTCCTATTTGGGTTGAGCTGCAGCGTGTGCTGCTCCACGCTGCCCACTAATTACTGAGAGGGGCCACTCGTGTTTGTTTGTTTGCTTCCTTTCTTCAGATCACACAGTTCCTCTTCAGCCATATCTCTGCCGTCAGACTAGAAGGAGGTGGGGAAGGGGCAGAAAGGGGGGGAGAGAGGAAGGAAAAGGAGTTTGAACGAGTTCGAACAGAGCAAGGACGGTTAATGTTAAAACCGTAGGAGGTGACCTGAGATCGCAGGTACAGGCTGAACTGTTTCTTCTGTCTGTGTGTGTGTGTGTGTGTGTGTGTGTGTGTGTGTGTGTGTGTGTGAGTCTTGGTCAATGGCTTTGCATGCTTCTCAAGCCTTAGCCCGTTCAGTAACCATTCAGTAACTGCTAGCAAACTAATATGTGAGCTTTGTACTGAGAACCTGAAGTCTGTGGACCACATACTGACCCTACAGTCTAAAAATAATGATATGCTAGAAAGTGTAACATCTTAAATCTAGTCAGTATATCTAATATTTTTTACTATGAGATTGTTGTAGGAAAAGTTTTAGATTATTCAACCTGTTTCTAGACATGTATTATTGCTTAAACAGGGATGCATGATGATATCAGAATCATGTCTGTATCGATGGATATTTGCTTAAAAAAATAAAATAGTATTGGAAACAGACAGATGTTTAGATTTGACTGATATTGCGAACCGATATTTGATGATGTATTTGTTGTACTCCACAAGTCATTTTATAAATAATTTCAGCTAGTGAAGTATACTATTCTGTTGACAAATCAATTTGCTTTTTTTAGGCATTATTTATTGAAACAAGCAACATTATCTGCGTTATGTCCTCAAACAAGTAAGATTATCTACCAATAGTAAAGTACAATTTCATTAAATAGAATTGCTTAAAAAAAGTAAAAATCAGTAATAATTAAATAATCTTAGGTCTCATTGTATTTGGATAGTCCACTATAGTCCACTGGCTTCATTTTGTTTGCAAACCGGAAAAAAATGTCAAGGTGAATAACACTTGTACCGTGAAAGTGTCCTCATGTGTCATAATGTTACAGTTGTCTGCAAAAGTATGAGCACCCCTGGTCAAATGGCATGTTTAGTTGATATTGTAGATTTATTTGACTAGATGTTTTAATATGTTTCCATTCGCCAGGATTTTTGCAGTGCATTTCCTCACTGTTTCTCTACCATCAGTAGTGCTTCTAACATGCTTTGAATTCTTCCAGCATGTTTCTGCTTCTGTTTCTGTTGGAGTTTTTTTTCAAACGTTTTAAGCAAGAGGGAGTTTCTACCTCTCTTTTACTTTCTGTGTGGGTGTATATTTATTTGAGAGAGAAGGAGATAATGCACTCCAAATCAGGAAGCTCCTGATTCAAAGCGTCTCCGTTAGCTTCCTGTGCTTGGAGCTGCAGTATTCTTTTCTGCTTGATCCATGTCTTCCGCCCAAGACTAAACTGTAACTGACATTCCAGCTTCGACCCTAACTGTGAACGAACCATCTTTGAGCTCAGCCCTTCCCCTTCTATCTCCCTGCTTTTACTATTCTATCTGTTGAGCTCCCATTCTCTTTCCCAGGAGGAGCTCCATAGCTTCACTACACACTTTCAATCAGCATTCTGGAGAGAGAGAATGAGAGAGAGACAAGAGAGTAAGTGAGTAAGTGATTGGCATTTATAGAAAGTGGTACAGATGAAAGAGGACTGGCCTTGGTCTGGTTTTCTCAAAGCTCTGTAGCTCAAAGAATCTGGTAAGGTTTGTCGAGGAAATGCTTTATTGAACAATTCCGGATGATTATCTCAGCTCATATGATGATTTTTACATGGACCCCCCAAAGCGTACACTCTCCACACTTAGAGTGACCTACTGATAAGCATACAGGCGAGCGGATGAGCTGAGTGATGTACACTTTGCTCCGCTTTCCTCAGTTGAGCAGAAATTAGGGCAGAGCTGGTGGTTTGTGAGGATGCAGTGGAATGCTCCACGTGCCTTGGAGGAAGGATGTGCAACCCTTGCTGTCCCACACTGAACTTTACAGTGTTTTTCCAAAACAAAGAATAGCTGAAGACATCATTTAGAAACACAGTGAGGTGAAAATATGAGGGAAGATAAAGAAGCGGGAAGCGATGAAAGGGGGAAATGGATCAAAACAGAAGCTGAGAAGTTCAAGACATGAAAAATTGACAACGATCGTTTTCATCGCTGAGAGAAGAAGGACTCTGTGAATTACAGTGGGGTTGATTTAAGTGTTTAAATCTCGACAGGTTTGCTGAAAGCCTAAAGCGATGACCTGATTCGGCACAGTCTCAGAGTTTAACAACTGCTGCAACTGTCAGTTTTCTTCAAACGAAAGGCAAGGGCATTTAGTTCATTATTCATCAACTACCACCATCACTGTTCTCATCTTTGCTTTGTGTTTTTGCTGCTTCTTTATGTTATGCTGTACTGTGTGTGTGAAGGGGGGCGGGGGTGTCTATTTGTGTGACTGTGTGTTTTCAGAAGCAGGACATTTGGTCAAGTTGGTTAAAAGACCACACACAAACACACACACACACAGAAAGATGATCTTTTTATTAGCTTAGTTTGATGGATACCCTTGCTCCTGCACCCAGTGCATGATGGATCTGCTCAGTGCTCTCTGGGTAATGTAGGATTTTGAAGTTGACAGGTAGAGTAATGGCTCCTGCATTTGTGTGCAAGAAAATCGATTCGGATCACATGAAATGACTCTGATAACGTGGGCTTTCTTTTGTCTGGACAACAGTTACTCTCTCTGTGTTTTCTACTGGTATCTACACGCATGAGATCTGAGACAGCTTAAAGATCTGAACTTGCCTTGCAGTGGTGTGTGTAGGGCAGGGGGTGGTGTTGGGGGTGGGGGGCTGAATGAGTGAGTTTGTTTGTGTGTTTGGAAAATTTTCATTGAGTCTTGCAAAAATAATCCATAAGAATAAGAAAATGTTTCATTTTAATAGCTGAAGGGAAAGATAATTGGCCTTAAAGGGTTCAATCATTTCTCAGCTAATACACCAGTAATACCTGTTATAACTAGTGAATATACAGTTGTATGCAAAAGTTTGGGCACCCCTGATCAAATTACGTGTTTTGTTGATTTTTTTAAGTGAGAATAAATTCCTCTACAGAGAACACACATTAGCTTTTTAAGTTTTTCTTGCATTTTTCGGCTGATTTTAGTGCACAATGTCTACTAATTTGCTAAAGTTAAAATATTGAAAACAAATTAACATAAAATATGAAATATGCCAAATATTAACTTTTGCACAGGCCACATTTTATGTTTAATTTTTTTTCAAATATGAAACACATTCAAGTAACTGAAATAAAATGTGCAGAGGTTTGTTCTCTGTAGATGGTGTGTTAACTTATTTTCACAACGAAAGTCAACAAAAAAATGACATTTGACCAGGGGCGCTCAAATTTTTGTATATGAATGCTTAGTCACTACAACAGACATCGCTGGTGTATTAGCTGAGAAATGATTTAACCCTTTAAGGCCAAAGCTAAAATGTGGCTGTATCTGCTATTTAATCTACTCTTGTCTCTTAATAATGTGATGTCTGAGTGCTGTTGCTGCATTTATTTGATATGTAAAGAATGTAATGTAACAAAATCATAGATTTTTACGTTTAGATTTTGAACAAGAAAGCACACATCAGTCACGCTGATTAAACAAATGAATAACAAGAATTTACCGATCTGAGCTGAGGTTGCACACTTGTGTTAATTCAGCAATAAGTGCATCTTTTATACAGTTATAGAAGATATGGCAGCACGCAGAAAGCTCCAATTTTACACGCTGACAAGTTACACTCTGGCCAACATGAAGGTGTAGCCACTGTAACTCTGGCAGGAGATTTAAACATGTTTAAGAGGCCATCGCCAAACTTTAAGAATAGATCAAGACGCTTGGTTTTCTAGGTTTAGAGAGCTTCATTACTGAAAATGGTAATAAAGGGTTAATGCCTGTTCATTGCAACCATCTATTCTTCCATCTAGACGGCTGTTCTTCAGCAGTTTCTGAATGTTTAAATGTTGCTGTGCTCTGTGTGCAGGACTCTAAGCGCTGTGTGGAAATCATCCAGTCACCCTCTCTGGACGTTTTTTTACCAGAAGACGAGGATAATCCGTATGAGTCTGTGGCCACGGCCGTCACACGCAAACCCTGCTCGTTGGACATCCACCTTCTCAACACCTGTCCTGGCAATGGTAAGCTACTGTAATCTTTACACGCACATCCCTTACCCTTAAAGCAGTTCCAAGCTCTGGTCCTGGAGTAGAGATCCTGGATATTTTGGTGTTTCCCCAAATCTGCAACTCCTGATTCAACTAATCAGTTAATCAACATTCAGTTGGTTAGTGCAGAAAACTGAAAAACATTCAGGACAGGAGGTCTGTAGGAACAATACTAGAGCATTACTATATACCAAATACACCACGCTCCATCCCTGCTTACACTACCATTCAGAAGTTTGGAAGCACTGACTAAACGTTTGGAATCAGTGTTTTCAATAAAATAAAACCAGACTGCAGGTAAGTATATAAAATGGTTGTAATGTGCTAGTCCTGCACAGCTTCACAGCTTTCAAATAATTAGTACACTCTTAAAAAAGATGATTCTTCAAGTATTCTTTACTAAAGAAAATGGTTCTATATTGAACCATGAACGCTCAAAGGACCCTTTGCGTGATTAAAGGTTTCTTTGCATCATGAAATAGTTCTTCAGATTGATGGAGAGCACTGAAAGGGGTCCTGCTATTTTTACCATATGAGGTTGTAACAATAGTTGAAGCCTTTTTGGTGCTGTATAGAACCCTTTTCAATAAAGTTCTATATAGAACCATCTACAGCACATTCTCCATCAGTCTAAAGAACACTTTCACAATGCAAAGAACCCTTTAATCAAGCAAAGGGTTCATTGAGTGTTCATGGTTGTATATAGAACCATTTTCTTTACTAAACAAAACTTTTAAAGAACCTTATTTCTTAAGTTTGTAGGAAATGAAGATGCTATTAATAAATTACAAACTATTAAAAAAAAAATCTAAAAATATTTGAATACTGCCTAAATACAGACTGCATAATCACAGAATAACGTATTTATGAACGCAGCACCTTAACCTGGTTTCTCTTGAATTCCATTACATGGGAATGATGTCTCATAACAATATTATAACATTTATACAAATGTCTGTCACTTTAGCTTAAGGCCCCTTATGTCAATGTAATTTACTTTATAAAACATTTTATATTGTGATTACTGTCATAAGCTGTTCCTTAGTATGCAAGTTGTGCTTTGTAAATACATTATTCAATACTTATGCATGTGTTGTGAAGTCCCTATGTAGGCAGCCTAAAAATTAAATGTTACAAGAAGTAAGAAATAAAATATGTCCAGAATAATGAACAGAGCTTCAGATGGTGAAATGACAGAGAAATCTGTATAGCATTGAGAATGAAGTTGTAATAAAATTAACCCCTTCAAGTCCTGGGCTTATTACGTACTAAGGCTTATTATTCAGTAACTCCAAGGATTTCAGTACAAACTGGCTGAGCTATTCTTAGGGTATAGGAGTGTATAATAAAACTTCAGACCCACTGGGAGGCTCTGGCCATTTAAAGGGTTAATATGTTGAATAACTCACATGTGAAAAGTGGTGGTGTATGCTTGAGGCAGATAACTTAATCAAACACTATTAGGAGTTCATCAGTCATATTTATCATTTGACTATTATTTTGACATATTTATCATTATTTATCATTCAATAACTTGTTTTTAATAAAAAACTTGTAATGATAAAATGTAACGCGTAGTTCAGCTACAAAAGTTGAATGGACAGTTTAAACCTACAATGCATAAATTATTTGTGTGTATAAAAAACAAAAAGTTAATGTGATCCCAAACTTTCGAACACATTCCAAACACATCCACACTTGACCTCTTAACAATGACAGCAGACATCACCATGCACAGCTACACATGAACACATGTCGTCACTGTCAGAGCAAAACCTTCTGTCTTTTTTTTTTTTACTAGTTACTTTTTTGGAGAGATGAGGTTTTGTTCTGGCAGCGACGATATACAAATAGACACAGAGAGGCATTTGTCCGATCAGCAGTCCTTCACTCCCCTGGCTGAAACTCCTCCACACCTCCACCTGTCCGAGCCCACCGAAGCAGAGCCACGTTTCCATGGCAACCTCCTCCTCCTCCTGTGGTAGGCTCATAGAGGTGGTTGAAGGAATCTCTGCCGTTCGACTTTCTGCTGCAGTCGCATCTGTGGCAGCAGCATCGCTAGGCTGAAAGTTCGGGTTGTCGTGGAAACAGGCCCGGTGAGTCACCTGTGGGTTGCCATGGCGACATGCTGTGCTGAGCTGGGTTGCCTGTAGGTAGAGTGATTCACACCTGCTGCAGCGAGTGTGTTTATCTGGCTCTGACTCCACCGTGTCCCTGTTTACAGAGCACTGTACGCTGCTGCGGGACTGCACAAAGAGTGTGTCTGTGTGGGGTGTGTGTTCTCATCTTATGTGAGATCACTAGAGAGAGGCTCACCAAAGTGTGATAAGAGAGAAGTGTTGTCTGTGCGCGTTTGTGTGTGTGTGAGACTGCAGGATTATAGCAGACTCTATTTTGGGCCTTTATTTTCCTCCAGAAGAACACAATCATAGCTTGCGGGAGCCGTTCTCTGTCTGATTATAGCCGAGCCTGTGTGTCTGTAGCAGTTTGGAGCCTACACTGTGCAGGGGTAGGGTGTGTGGCTTTGGGCTACACGTGTCAAACTCTGCACAGATAGAGTGCTGGTCTACAGGCACTACGCATGAGCTATATACACCGACTGGACGCTTCAGTAAAAACACCTGGTTTTGGATCTACAATCATTGTCCATTTTATCAGCTTCACTGACCATATAGGTGCACTTTGTAGTTCTACAATTCTCTGTATACTTTGTTAGCCCCCTTTCACCCTGTTCTTCACTGCTCAGGACCACCACAGAGCAGGTACTATTTGGGTGGTGGATCATGCTCAGCACTGCAATAACAATGACGTGGTGGTGGTGTGTTAGTGTGTGTTGCGCTGGTTTGAGTGGATCAGACACAGCAGAGCTGCTGGAGTTTTTAAACATCTCAGTGTCACTGCTGGACTGAGAATAGTCCACCAACCAAAAATATCCAGCCAACAGCGTCCTGTGGGCAGCATCCTGTGACCACTGATGAAGGACTAGAGGATGACCAACACAAACTGTGCAGCAGCAGATGAGCTGTTGTCTCTGACTTTACATCTACAAGGTGGACTGACAAGGTAGGAGAGTCTAGTAGAGTGGACAGTGAGTGGACAGTGAGTGTTTAAAAACTCCAGCAGCACTGCTGTGTCTGATCCACTCGTACCAGCACAACACACACAGACACACCACCACAACGTCAGTGTTACTGCATTTAAGGAAACTAAACATTGTGATGCATATCATTATCACACCAACTAATAACGAGCATGTTGAATAATAATGATCTTGTGCGGTTTTGAAGGGGTGGCCGAAGGGGTCAGTGCCTTCCCTGAAATGTGATTGGCCACCACAGATGCCACCCCAAAATGTATGCCACATCATTGACTTCCACCTCACTGTGGAGCTTTCTGGCAGAATTGAAGTTTGCAGTATGCCTGATCTAGATCCTCCCTCTAGCAAAACCACTTACAAACGCAGGCACACACGGGTGTCTCTGAAGAGAGCACATTCTAAAGAAGTACTCTGTGAGAATTGGTAAGCTTATTATTTGCAGTGCATATCACAGAAAGCTATTTCGCTATTCAGTTATTCAGAAAGGCTTCTCCTATGTCTGCTTTCATGAATTGTAGCTCACATTCGTTGATATGGTGGGCTTTGATTTATTTAAAACACTTGAATTGAGAAAACTTCATTCTTGGTTCATTAATCCACAATTAAAGTGCCATCCTTTTACTTCTAATCTGTGTCTGGAAAAACATCCCGCGGAGTGTAATGAGACTAATTACAATGTGTGATGGATGAAGCTGCGTATGAGATATATGGGTGGGCAATAATCATTATCATGATAGATTACATCATATGTAATAAGTACATTGTATGTACTTTTATGTACTTTTTATATCATATATTAAAGTCTTTCATTAAAAAATAACAAAATAAAAACCTTGAAAATTCAATTTTCATGAAATGGGCCCTTTAATACCTAAAAAAAAACCCTTGGTACTTTTATTGTTTTATTGATTTTTTAAATATGTCACTGTTGTTTTGCTGATGCTCTTTGACTATTCCAACCTCAAAGAAATAAAATATTGTGATGTGAGATATAAAGAGTGTATTGTGAAAGACTTTACATGTTATGATGCTACCTTATGGTAGAAGAGAATAGCTGTAATTTGCTCACATATCAATGCTAGTAAGCTAGTGAGGCAGCTGTTGACACTGATTTGGCAGTTTCTAATTGGAGCTTTAACCTCTGAAGCTTTATGAAAACAAACACCAGATACTGACCTTCAAGAAAAGTCTATGCTTAGTGCGAGTGCCCGGATGGAGGGAGGCTGTGGCCAGCCCGCAGTGTGAGCGAGTGGTTAGAAAGCAGTGGTGGGCTGTCAGGAGGGATTTGGGTGTGAAGAGGCAGGAGTTGCCTTGGGCTGGGCTTAAGCCCTGGTTGTGTCGCTGCTATTTTGGTGGAGCTGATCCTGGTGGAGTGAACCGTTACGTCCCCGTCCACTTTGATCCACTTCCCTGCTTGCTGCAGCACGCTCCCTGCTCAGGGTCATGTTCAATTACAGCAGCATGTGATGAGCTAAAGAGAAGAATCCTGGCTTTCCCCCATCATGCGCCAGATTAGTGCAGTTATCCCTGCCTGACCCTGCACCAGTCCATTTAGTTAAAGGGCCCATTAGGAAAACTAAATTTCCCTTCCTTTCCTTCCTCAAGTGTTTGATGTACTGGGTAAACATTTCAAGTTTTTCAAGCGTACCATTCATTCCCCAGTCCAGGCAGTTCATATACGGAAATTAAGCTGCAAAAACAGCCCCTTTTGAACTAGTGAAGTTGACATCACAACCATTAACACATTTACATATGACTCGCCCATTCTGCCTTCAGCAGTTTAGCACTCATTTACATCGAAGTGTTAAGGAGTGATGTTAGTCTATATCAGGAGTGTCAAAGTCAACCACTAAAAGGGCCATATAAAAAATCTCAG